TTATCCTAATTTGAGGCATATATACAGGCTAGATGGCGTAAATTGGGTCCATTAATAAAGTCAGTACAGTATCCGTACAGTCGACGAAATTGGCATCGTATTATTCTAACAAAAGACGGCAGTAATTCATTACATTTTTCAAATCGTATAAAAAAAATTATTAGACAACAATTACGACAACAACAACAACAACGGCAACAACAACAACAACAACAACAACAAGAAACAAAACGTGCCAATGCTGAAAAGGTTGAAAAACGACCGCGTGCGGGTGGAATATTGCTTTCAAAAGCTAAAATAAAATCAAAACTGTTTACCAGTGAAGGTATTATTTTGTTCTGTTTTTTTCTATTTTTTTTTCTTCATCTTTTACTTTTTAAAATATTTTTGTTATGATGACAAAAATTAATTGATGAAGTATTTGATGCAATGAAATTGGACAATCAGTTTGATAAAATTATTCATGAGATCCCGCTTTATTTTTTTTTCTTTTCACTGATAGTTTAATTCATCTGCTCAGATTAATAAAGCAGATCAATAGCTGTTGGACAATAAACAAAAGAAAATTATACTGCGTTTGAATCCTACAACTGCTTTCATTAATTCTTGAAATTCTTTGAATTTTTAACAAATTAATTTTAATTTGATCGAAGAAACAATTGCAATTTCTATATTGGGACAATTTGAAAAATCAAAAGTGATATGGAATTTCAAATCATTCATACGACGGTGTTTTGTCTCAATTAAATTAGGGTCAACCATATCACGGATTGTTATCATCTCCTCGATCCAAGCTGACAATGAAATTTCTATCAAATTAAATGATTCATATAGAGGGATGGAATAATTTTTACTAATTTTTCTTTTTTTTTTTCAAAATCTTTATTGTAAATATTTTAATAAACGATTTGAAATATATTTTAATAAACCTTAGTAACCCACATAAAAAACCTCTATGATAATTTTTTTATATTTATAAAATTCATAAAAAATTTGAATTCATTAAATTTTCAATGCTTACAAATATTTGTTCTTTTTTTTTTGGTTTTCTAATAATCACGTTAAATATGTAATTGGTTAGTTTTCAGTAGACGAATGGCCAAGAGAAATTGTAAAACCAACAACCACAACACTATCAACTACTACCACTACAACCTTTACTACAGTGATGCCTATTACTGATTTTCACACCGATATTAGCCCAAAATTAACAACCATTGGTACCACATTTACTGCTGCTACCACACCAACTATTGTAATAGCTACCAACACTTCTGATATCCTTCCCTCCGCTTCATCTTCCTTCTTCTCCTCTCCCACAACTACGATTATTGCTGCTTCAGAATTCACTGATTTCGACAATGTAACAACCATCGAACCGAAATCATTTCCATTCAGCACATCATCAAACGATTATCATTTTCGAAAAATTACACCAGCAAAGAAATTTAAATTTGCTCAGAAATTTCGACGACAACCACGGCTTAAAATACGCAAACCAGGTTTGCTTTTAATTTCATTTGCATATTTTGTGCATTTTATATTCAAAAGAAAATTGTAGCTGTAGTTACAATAAGAAATACTTGAACGAAAGTTGAAAACTGATTTCAATTAAAATTTTATATTTTGATATACTATGCAATTTTTTGTATGAGTAAAATGTAGCAAATAGATAATTTCGCATGGTGATATGGTGACAGTGATATATTTATTAAAATTCATGAAATTACATTATCATTTTTGTAACATAATCTATTATATATTCTATATA